CTCCTCCTTCTCCTCCTCCCCCCTTCTCCTTCACAAACCTCACTCCCTTCTAGCACTGATGATGTTCCCTAGTTGGGTAATGAAACGTCTGCAAGAAAACTACCAAGCTCAGAGAGCACTAGGGACCCCACGGTCCTCCTCTTCCTCCTCCTCTTCCTCCTCCCCTCCTCCTCCCCCTGCCCCCAAGGGCTGAGGGACTGGTCCAAAGTCATTGATGCTGGCTTTGGGTCTTAGCTAGGCAGAAACCTGGATCTCCCCAAATCAAGGACAAATGTCTTCCAAAACAGGCTGCCAAGGGGGGAAAAAAACCTGCAGGGACTTGTCTAGGGCAGTCACCAAAAGTCAACACTGAGACTGGAAACCCCCCCCCCACAAAAAAAAAGATAATACAACCTTTATTTTCATTTTCTTTTACTGTGGACACTGGCACACATTAAAAACGAAATGTTGTTGTCTGCTCTCAAAGGTGTGTGCATACACAACACACATATAGACATGCTATACATGCAAATGCGTACATACTTACACCCTTACCTATAAATACGTACACATATTAATCACCGTCCCTCTTTGAATACACAATGGAAAGAGGAAGCTTGAGAGTTCACAAGGTTGATACTATATGGAATAAAAGTCAAAGCCAGTTTGGGTATAGGAGTTAAGGTTAAGGTTAGGAAGCCGGGACCTGAGTTCTAATCCTGCCTCAAGCACAAAGAGGGAGCTGGGTGACTTTGAGCCAGCCCCTTTCTCCCAGCCCTATGAAGGAGGCAATGGCAAACCACTTTGGGGGGAGGGAAACAACACACCTGGCTAAACTGCAGTCCACTAAACGGAGGTACTAACACCACTCTATAAAGCCTTAATAAGACCACACCTAGAATACTGCAACCAGTTTTGGTCACCAAACTGTAAAAAAGATGTTGAGGCTCTAGAAAGAGTGCAGAGAAGAGCAACAAAGATGATCAGGGGACTGGAGGCTAAAACATATAAGGAACGGTTGCTGGAATTGGGTATGTCTAGTTTAACGAAGAGAAGGACGAGGGGGGACACGATAGCAGCCTTCCAGTATCTCAGGGGCTGCCCCAAAGAAGAGGGAGTCAAGCTATTCTCCAAAGCACTTGAAGGCCGGACAAGAAGCAACGGATGGAAACTAACCAAAGAGAGAAGCAACCTAGAACTAAGGAGAAACTTCCTGACAGTTAAAACAATTAACCAGTGGAACAACCTGCCTCCAGAAGTTGTGAATGCTTCAACACTGAAAGTTTTAAAGAAGAAACTGGACAGCCATTTGTCTGAAATGGTATAGGGTTTCCTGCCTGGACTAGAAGACCTCCAAGGTCCCTTCCAACTCTGTTATTGTCTTATCCAGAAAGAAGAGGGAGTCAAGCTCTTCTCCAAAGCCCCTGAAGGCAGAACAAGAAGCAACTGATGGAAACTAATCAAGGAGAGAAGCAACCTGGAACTAAGGAGAAACTTCCTGACAGTGAGAACAATTAACCAGTGGAACAACCTGCCTCCAGAAGCGGTGAATGCTCCAACCCTGGAAGTTTTTAAGAAGAGACTGGACAGCCATTTGATCTGAAACGGTATAGGGTTTCCTGCCTGAGCAGGGGGTTGGGACTACATGACCTCCAAGGTCCCTTTCCAACTCTTATTACACTATTTTGTTCTTCTGTTCCAAAGCGTCTCCACCAAGGGATCCAAAAGCGCAAGCACAACCGCGCGCGGGGATGCCGAGCCGGCCTCTCTGCCCTTTCCCCGGGAGAGCCGCGCAGGGCGATCCTACCGGCCAAGCTTACCAGCAGGTGTAGGCGGGCAGCGGCGGGCGCGCGCGGGCGCGCCGTGCAGTGTTGCGCAGGAGCCGGCAGAGGTAGCTCTTCCGACGGTTCTTGGCCTTGCGCAGCCCCGTCTCGCTGGCTGAGCCGGGGCTGGAGGAGGAGGAGGCGGGCGGGCGAGCGGGCGGAGCCGGAGCCGGAGCCGGGAAGCGCGGGCTGTGCGGCGGCTCCTTCTCCTCGTCCTCCTCCGCCCGGGGTCTCCGGGTGCGCCTTGTGCCGCGCGCCCTGAGCGCACAATGGCTCAGCCCGCGGGCAGCGNCCCATGTTCCTCCTCCCAACAGCCCTGCAAGGTAGGCCAGGGCCGGAGTTGGCAACAGGGCCTTCTCTTCCTCTTCCTCCTTGCCATCTTGCCTGATTTTGGCACCGGGCTTGGTTCATTTGAGGATAAGGGCTGAATGGACAATGGTACCATTTGTTTACTCCTCAATTCCTTTAGCCTAGTTTCCTGGGTTCATCTGATCATGATCACTTAGTGCAGACATGTCAAACACAATTTTTTTTTAAATTTCTCATCAATGTTCCAATTTAACCTTTGATATTTATAATTTTCAGAACTTGGGGTAACCCAAATTTCCCTTATGTCACTAGATAACAAACTATATAATATCCAAAATACACATTTTTATCTATTTAAATATAACCTTGTTCTATTTCCTAAGAGTTATCGATTTCCCACCATATTAAATCGTCTACTTAATAACACAATATCCCCTTTAATAAATCAAAAACCATTAAATATATTGCCTAGATCAGACATGTCAAACACAAGTCCCGGGGGCCGGATGCGTCCTGCGAAGTGGTTTCATGTGGCCCACGAAGCCATCCTGGAAACAGTGAGGGAACGGCCCCCGCTGCCTTGGCCCTGGCCCAGGCCAGCCAGGAGCCAATGTACAATTTTGTGGTGGGCATCTATGCTGAAACGCATTCAGTCTTAGCTCCACAAGGACGTCTGGAAACAGCGAGGAACCAGCCCCTGCTGCGTCTGCCCCGTCCCCTGGGTGCATGCTGGGAAGGGGTCACCCTTTGTGAGGAATGAAGAAATGGACCATGCCTTGGCGCTTGCCCCGGTCCCACCCCCTTCTGCCAGAGACCCTCAGATCTGTCCCACTCCTGCCCAGGCCCCCCCAGGCACCCTTGACGCGAACGATGTAGAGCTGGCCACACACACCCAGTAGGCCACCAGCCCCCCTCCCCCTCCATCCATGCCCACCCAGTAGGCCGCCCCAGTAGGCCGCCCCCTCCATCCATGCCCACCCAGTAGGCCGCCAGCCCCCCTCCCCCCTCCGAGAGCAACCGCAGTGCTGATGCGGCCCTCAATGAAATTGAGTTTGACACCCCTGACTTAGTGGGATCCATACAGGTTTGTCTCAAATACAGCCAGGCGAACATAGCTAGTTGTCACACAGTGTGTTCAACCACCATCCCGTTGGTTTGGCTGAGCGCAGGGTAATAATAACCCAGTTATTGTGGTTTACAGCCTGCAGGGTAAAGGATGAACCACTGCGCCACCACGGCTCTTAACAAATTTAACTTAACAAGTTTCTCCCTTAGCAACAGAACATTTTGGGCTCAGTTGTGGTCATAAGTCGAGGACTACCTGTCCCATTACCATTTCTGAGTTCTCCAGGCCGTTAAAACAGAAAACCTGGAGCCAACGATGCTTGTTCTTCACACCCTCGTTCCTTTCTTTGCAACAGGGCCGGTGACCATCTGCGGTGAAGTGACCATCTTGCACGGGGGATTCCTGCTGGCATCCAGGCTGTGCCATCCCAAGCCGTTATCCGAGCTGGCCAAGTCCGACTGGCCTGTGGTGGGAAAACCAATCCTGGAAGCCTTGCAGGAGATCTGCACCTCCTATTCTTGTTATCCTCCCCAGCCCAACCTCTGGAAGAAAAAGGCGGCCCTTGTCCTCTGGTCCAAATTGCTCCTCTCGGCTGTCCCGTCCGACGACCGGTGGAAAAGCGACGCTTTCTTCTCCGTCAGCAACATGATCCCCGAGATCAACCACACTGTCCTCTTCGAGCTGTTCAAGGCGGTCAACGCACCCCGACTTTTCACCCAGCTGCTTCTGGTCCTGCCGGATCCCCTTTGCCAAAAAGAGCTTCAGACCTTCGTAGAGTACATCGCCAAGGAGACATCTCCGGCCGACGTCGCGTTCTTCTTAGACGTTTGGTGGGAGGTTATGAAACACAAAGGAGGAGGAGAAGACCGATTGGTACTGCTGTTCCAAAACATGACTCACCAACACGTTTTGGAGTCTGAAGAACTGGACCAGCCTCCCAAGAGGTTCAAGAGCAGCCCTTCGTCCGTGCCGGAGAACTCCGCCGTCCCTCTCGTCCTCCCGATCTTGACCGAAGGGCTCAAACTGATCAAAGATAGCCTGGGCTCAACCAGGATGAAGTGTTACGCCCTTGCTAACTTAGTGGACGTCTTGTCTGCCTTGGTGGCCACTGAGTGTCAAGCAAAGGCGTTGTCTCCTCAAGCTTACTTGGAGAAGATCTCCTCGACGGTGACCCTCTGGAGCTGTGACTGTGAAAACCGATACAACAAGAAGGACTTGGATGCGAAGGTGAAGGAAGCCGAGAGGAGCATGAGTTTGCTGGACATGGTCAAGTTGTCCAAGCAGTTGGTGCTCTGCAACTTAAGCTTCCTCCACTCCTTGTTGAAGGAGTGGGCTTCAGAGGTCCAGGTCTTCTTGAATGACCCTCAGCAGGTCTGCTATGAGAGCTACCGGCTCCTCAACTGCTTGGCGGCCTTACAGAAGAGGTTGACCAACTGTGGTCTAGAGGACCTCAACCAGGAGACAGCCCGAGTGATGTTGGATCTGGGCAAAGTCATTGCAGACCTCCTGAAGAAGATCAACCCTGAGACTTGGGGAAAGAGCACCGGCGGCGATCTGGTGGCTTCGGTAGCCATGGTGATCATCGACAAGAAAATGGACCGACACAAAGAAGTGTGCTCTGTGTTTGCTAAGGAGAAAAACTGGGCCTTGAGCAAGGATTGGGTGGCTTGCCTTGTTAAGAATAAGGCCCTTTTCCAGGATCCGGAACTAATTTTGAAGCTGCTGGAGACAGTCGCCTCTTTGGAATCCCCCGAGGATTCATCCAGAAACCGAGAGCAACAAACCAAGGTGGTCAAGATCATCCTTGAGTGTTACAACGAACTTTCCTTGCCGGATAAGAACAAAGTCATTGCTGGTGTTTTGGCGAGTTGGGGCCGACAAGGTCTTTCCAAGCTGATGGTAGCCTTCTCGGAACGATTTCAGGAGGAACTCAACGTGGCCTTCAACCAGATCATCCAGAGTGCCTCTGGGGAAGGTTTTAAGAAAGCCATCCTTGCCATATCTCGGCTGGTGGTCCTCAACCCAGAAGGTACCATCAAGAAAATCAGTAACTTAGCCATTGCCAATTTGGGAACCCATCAATTCTTGGCTGAGATCCTCTGCTCTTTCCCAGCTCTGAGCTTCCAAGAACCTCAGGGTCAACCCAACGTCTCCCGCAACCTTCTCCTAGAATGTTTGAAAGAGACGGTTTGGGAGCGTCTCTCGTCTCCCAAGGAGAAGGAGCAATTTTTAGAGTTCCTAGTTCATCTCATGCGACCGAGTGGAACAAGTCCCCTCCTGTCTCCTCCAGAGGTGGTCCAAAGCTTGATCTTCCCGTTTCTGAAGTCAGATTCTCCCCGAATTGAGCTCTGCTTGCAAATCCTGGACAAGGCTTTGAAAGTCCCATCAGAACAGAGCTGGATTCATACCTGCCACCCGTTTCCACTCATCTTTTCTCTCTGCAAACTCCTGGATGGCTTCTCCCAATATTGGCACCAACCAGAAGACCAAGAGAGATGTTCCCTGGAGACCAAAGATTTGGTGGTCACCAACTTAGCCCAGCTGTGTGATGTTCTCCTGGTCCAGAAGGACTCTCTATCTCCACAGTTGTGGACCCAATCGGTGGCCTGGTTGCACAAGAAGCTCAGCGTCTTGGATTGGACCATTGGCCTCCGTGTGAAGGACATCTTCGGAGAACATTTCAGAAATGAAGTCCCGGCTACTCTTTTTGAGGTCTGTAAGCTTCCAGAGGAGGACTGGACGACCCGTCCGCTCCCAAATTATGGAGCAGGCAGTGGGTTGCTGGCCTGGTTGGAAACGTGTTGCGTCTCAACGGCCCTGCGTGAGCAGATGCTTGTGCTCCTCGTGGTTAACGTGGACAACCCTGAGGAAGTCAATCTCTTCAGCAAAGGGTTCTTGGTGGCCCTTGTCCAGGTCTTTCCGTGGTGCAGCCAAAGCGAGTGGAGAAGACTTGTCCACGTGATCAAAAGTCTCTTGGAACGAGAGATCCTCTACGTACCTTACTCGCTGGAGTACGTCCAGTTTTTACCGTTGTTGAATTTCCGGCCTTTCGCCTATCATCTCCAGTTGTCCGTGCTTCTTCTGCGGGCCTTCCAGTTCCTCTGCGGGGCCAGTGGCGCGACGTGGATGCCAGCGGAGGCGTGGAGACACGTCGGGAGACTCTACTGCCTCAGCTTATCCGATCTGCTGGGCTCGGTGAAGACCATCGCCCGTGGCCAGTGGCACTCCGTGGAAGAGAAGAACGTGATCCGGGAGCTGTCCTTCGTTTACATCCAGATGTTCTGCCACACGCTTCACGTGGCCGCCATGTTGCCCAACCATGGGACCGGGGACCCTCTGCTGCTGGTCTCCTTGGAGATCCTGTCGCAGTACGAGATGCTGTACGACCTTGACGAATCCCTGGGGAGTGCCTTACGCAAGGCCAACGAGACCCACTTCTTGGAGTCCATCGTGGAGAACGTCACCAACAAGGAACTGCGCACCATGCTGCTCCATAAGCTCCATAAACTCTGAGGATCAAATTCGGATTCTAGGAGGCGTGTGGACAGCAGGGCTCTGGGTTGCGGGTTCGAGAGAAACCGAAACAGCTTTCATCCGAGGAAAGAGAGAGCTCAATGGGAAATTTGCAAGATCTATAATAAACCTTTATTATCTCCTTCTTCGGAAAGTTATTGGCTGGGGGTGGGCGGGTTGGTTGAGGAGTTTACAGTTGGTCCTCACCTTATGACGACAACTGAACTTTCCATTGCTAAGCCAAAACAGTGGTTGAGTTTTGCCCCATTTTACAGCCTTTTTTTGCCGCAGTTGTTAAGCAAATCACGGTGGTTGTTAAGTGAATCATGTCATTAAGAGAATCGGGCTTCCCCTTTTTATTACGCTTGCCAGAAGCTGACTAATGACGGGACAAGAGGGTCAGGTGGCAGGGAATTCCCAGAATTCCCCAGCCAGCATGCTTTAAGATGGGTGGACTTCAACTCCCAGAATTCCCCAGCCAGCATGTTTTAAGATGGGTGGACTTCCACTCCCAGAATTCCCCAGCCAGTATGATTTAAGATGGGTGGACTTCCACTCCCAGTCCACTGATCTTTAAAGAATAATGAGCAGAGAATTCTGGGAGTTGCAGTCCACCTATCTCAAAGCAGGCTGGCTGGGGAATTCTGGGAATTGAAGTCCACCCATTTTAAAGGTTGCCAGGGTTGAGAAACACTGAGTTAACCAGTGGAACATGTTGCCACAAGATTTCATAAGGATCACTCGCTGACAATAATTTAAAAATGTGACAACTGCAGAAAGGTTTGTTCCAGAGTCCATCAACCCTCAAAACAAGCAGGATTAGCCTCTCTTTAGCCAATTAGCCAGAGACTGTTTTGGGGTGCTACTGTTTTGGGATGGTTATCTCCCAGCATTCCCTGCCCAAATGATCATGGGAAGGCAAAATAGATGCTGACGCCCTAGAAAGAGTGCAGAGAAGACCAACAAAGATGATTAGGGGACTGGAGGCTGAAACATATAAGGAACGGTTGCTGGAATTGGGAATGTCTAGTTTAATGAAGAGAAGGACGAGGGGGGACAGGATAGCAGCCTTCCAGTATCTCAGGGGCTGCCACAAAGAATAGGGAGTCAAGCTCTTCTCCAAAGCGCCTGAAGGCAGGACAAGAAGCAACGGATGGAAAACTAACCAAGGAGAGAAGCAACCTGGAACAATTCTCCTGACAGAACAATTAACCAGTGGAACTACCTGCCTCCAGAAGCTGTGAATGCTGCAACACTGGAAGTTTTTAAGAAGAGGCTAGACAGTCACTTGTCTGAGATGGTATAGGGTCAGATGCCTGAGCAGGGAGTTGGACTAGATGACCTCCAAGGTCCCTTCCAACTTTATTATTATTATTAGGGGAAATACGGTACTAAATGTGTCCGTCTGGCTGACCATCTTAACTGGGGCTTATTTTGGGGATGGGTCTTATCGTGAAAAATCATGCTAGGGTTTATTTTCCAATAAGGTCTTATTTTCAGGAGAAAACGCTAGTATTACAGGGCACCTAGGTTGACAAAAGTAAAGGAATTTCGGTTCACACACAATATTTGTATTTCTTGATTCGAAAGGAACAAAACCCGGGGTCAGATGCTGGCTGGGGAATTTTGGGAGTTGAACTCCATCCATCTTAAATTGGCTAACTTTGAAAAAAGTTGCTCTTCATCATCATCAATGATCTGGACGAGGGGATAGATGGGGAACTCATCAAATTTGCAGAGGACACCAAGCTGGCAGGAATAGCCAACACTCCAGAAGACAGGCTTAGGATACAGGAGGATCTGGACAGACTGGAACACTGGGCGCTATCTAACAAAATGAAATTCAATGGTGAAAAAAGTAAGGTTCTACATTTAGGCAAGAAAAACCAAATGCACAGGTATAGTATAGGGGGTACCTTGCTCAATAGTAGTAATTGTGAGAGGGATCTCGGAGTCCTAGTGGACAATCCCTTAAATATGAGCCAGCCGTGTGCTGCAGCTGCCAAAAAGGCCAACACAGTGCTAGGCTGTATTAACAGAGGCAGAGAATCAAGATCAGGTGAAGTGTTAATACCACTTTACAAGGCCTTGGTAAGGCCGTACTTGGAATACTGCATCCAGTTTTGGTCACCACAATGTAAAAAAGATGTTGAGACTCTAGAAAGAGTGCAGAGAAGAGCAAGAAAGATGATCAGAGGACTGGAGGCTAAACCATATAAGGAACGGTTGCTGGAATTGGGTCTGTCTAATAGGATTTCCTGCCTGAGCAGGGGGTTGGACTAGATGACCTCCAAGGTCCCTTCCAATTTTATCATCATCATTATTATTATTATTATTTAAAAAAAGTACTGTGGTTGCATTCTGGAAACACTCCCCTCCGTTTCCCCTCCAGAATAGGCCAAATGAAGTGCTCCACATATTGTGCCTTTCTAGAAATGTGTCTTCTACAACCGGAACGGAGTTTGAACCTTCTAGAAAAGATTTCCCCCCTGAAATATTTGCCACGTCTGCATTACTTAATGTGTCTGGATCATCAGAGAATCGTCTGTTAGCAGAGAAATCAAAAAAGGAAGGAAGTCCGCAAAAAAACCCCAACACACCATTTTTTTCACTGAAATTGTTTTTTATTAGTTCCAAAAATCAAGGGCTCAAGTTGTGTGCAGGGTTGCAACAATCCAGTGCAATTGGAAACCCAGGCAATCCATATATGTTGTTATTTATTTGTATCCTGCCTTTATTATTTTTTACAAATAACTCAAGGCGTAAACATATCCAACACACATTCCCCCTATTTTCCCCACAACAACCCTGTGAGGTAGGTTGGGTTGAGACAGAGACTGGCCCATGGTCATCCAGCTGATTTTCATGGCTAAGGGAGGACTAGAACTCACCGTCTCCTAGTGATTGATCCAAAGTCACCCGGCTGGATCTCGCGCCTAAGGCGAGACTAGAACTCACAGTCTCCTAGTGATTGGCCCAAAGTCACCCAGCTGGCTCTCGTGCCTAAGGCGGGACTAGAACTCACAATCTCCTAGTGATTGGCCCAAAGTCACCTGGCTGGCTCTTGTGCCTAAGGCAGGACTAGAACTCACCGTCTCCTAGTGATTGATCCAAAGTCACCCGGCTGGATCTCGCGCCTAAGGCGAGACTAGAACTCACGGTCTCCTAGTGATTGGCCCAAAGTCACCCAGCTGGCTCTCGTGCCTAAGGCGGGACTAGAACTCACAGTCTCCTAGTGATTGGCCCAAAGTCACCTGGCTGGCTCTTGTGCCTAAGGCAGGACTAGAACTCACTGTCTCCTGGTGTTTGAGCCAAAGTCGCCCAGCTGACTTTCATGCCTAAGGCGGGACTAGAACTCACCATCACCTAGTGTTTGGCCCAAAGTCACCTGGCTGGCTCTCTTGCTTAAGGCGGGACTAGAACTCACAGTCTCCTAGTGATTGGCCCAAAGTCACCCGGCTGGCTCTCGTGCCTATGGCAGGACTAGAACTCACTGTTTTCCTGGTGATTGGCCCCAAATCACCCAGCCAGCTTTCATAGCTAAGGTAGAACTTGAACTCAAAATCTCTTGCTTTCTAGACTAGCGTCTTAACCCCTCATCTGTTTTTCAGGGCTGTATCATAATAAAATGAAAATCACATTTTTGTGTGCACCGTGACACCTGGCAAATATAATATAAACGCAAACTGGTTGCCTGCCTTTTAGCAAGTCACTCCGATCGTTTCCGACATCAGCCTGAGTGGTGGTTTTTCAAAATCAATTAAGTTCCTTTTTTTAAAAAAAAATTTTGAAGGGTCCAAAATGCATCGTTCCTTCCAGCGCTGATGACGTTACCTAGTTGGGTCATGAAATGTCTGCAAGAAAACCACCAAGCTCAGAGAGCGCCGAGGACCCCCACACTTTCCTTGCCCTAATTTTTCTGACTATTCTTCGGGAATGCGAAGATCTGTTAATGGCATTAGAAGTTAATTCTTCTAAGAAGTTATTACCTTTTAGTCTTCCCTCCCCCTTTAAATTCCACCACCCCCCATTAAAATTGTTAAACAGCACTCTTGAATGGGGTTTTTCCGATCCATCGCAAGCACAAACGGGCTGAGTTGGCTTTCAACAATTACAAAAAAGACTTGCACTTCTATCACAGGAAGAGAGAGAAATAAATACAGAAGACACCTGGGCGTTCGCCAGGGGGCGGTATCACAAAAACCGCAATTTTAAGAACAACACAAGTTGTGCCCTGTCGGATTAGACCCCCAGGCTTGTCTCATCCAGCAGTTTGTTATCCTGTTGTCCAATAACTTGCCAAGAAAGCCCATGGGCAGGTTCTACATTTAGGCAAAAAAAACCAAATGCACAGGTATAGTATAGGGGGTACCTTGCTCAATAGTAGTAACTGTGAGAAGGACCTCGGAGTCCTAGTGGACAATCATTTAAATATGAGCCAGCCATGTGCTGCAGCTGCCAAAAAAGCCAACACAGTGCTGGGCTGCATTAACAGAGGGAGAGACTCAAGATCACGTGAAGTATTAATACCACTTTACAATGCCTTAGTAAGGCCACACTTGGAATACGGCATCCAGTTTTGGTCACCACGATGTAAAAAAGATGCTGAGACTCTAGAAAGAGTACAGAGAAGAGCAACAAAGATGATTAGGGGACTGGAGGCTAAAACATACAAGGAACGGTTGCTGGAATTGGGTATGTCTAGTTTAACGAAGAGAAGGACGAGGGGGGACAGGATAGCAAGTCTTCCAATATCTCAGGGGCTGCCCCAAAGAAGAGGGAGTCAAGCTATTCTCCAAAGCACCAGAAGGCAGGACAAGAAGCAACAGGTGGAAACTGACCAAGGAGAGAAGCAACCTAGAACTAAGGAGAAACTTCCTGACAGTTAGAACAATTAACCAGTGGAACAACCTGCCTCCAGAAGCAGTGAATGCTCCAACACTGGAAGTTTTTAAGAAGAGACTGGACAGCCATTTGTCCGAAATGGTATAGGGTTTCCTGCCTGAGCAGGGGGTTGGACTAGATGACCTCCAAGGTCCC